GAGAAAAGGCACCAAAAAAGCACGAAAAAAGCACGAGAAAAAGCACGAGAAAGCGCACGAGATTTTGAAAGCGGGATTGGTGCTCCGAAGATTGTCCCCGCGGAAACGGTGGATCAGGACACCGGTGGTCCTGGGACTCCGGGGGTGGCCCTGGGGGAGGGGGTTGGGGAGTCTGAGCGGGTTGGGGGGTCTCCTGCCTGGCAGGTTCCTGCCTGGCAGGTTCTTCGACGTTGTGCGTGGCATGGCAAAAGAATTTCCATGAGCCATGTGAGCGTCTCCTGCGAGACATGCCCATGCAGCCATGCATATGATGCAATATAAATTAAGGATATGAATGATATTATTATATATAACTCGACATCAGGTTGGTGAAAGACTGGGAGTGAATGAGATGAGAGGGCCTTCGGGAGTGAATGAGATGAGATGAATGAGATGAGATGACAGGGTTCTAAACCTGCAAACTTCAAATCACAATTGAAGATGGTACCTTGTTGAAGTGGCCTGATTTCAGTTTGAGATTTCTGGTGCTTTTTCTCTTAGTAAGTTTAGTAGGGAAAGCATTTTGCGACTGTTACTGGGGGGGGGCAGGGTCCAATTTATATCGGTGAAAGGGGCCAGGGCATGCCATGTTGTAAAGAAGGGGTGTGGCCAGGGAACTGACATCTAGCCAGGGTTATTAGTCTATTTGGTGTAAATTGGTTGCAATTTGTGCGTGCTTCCTGAACCTATGGCCCAACACCACCTTTTTTTGTAGAGACCTTCCTAGTCAATGATGTAGTTTTTACAAGCCATTCTGAGGCTCAGTTCTGACGTTGGTGTATGCTGGTGTGATCTTGTATCACATGGTCAGCCACGGATTACGGTATGTTTATGAAACCTCTAGCAAGAACCCCCCCATATACAAGTAAATCGGAACATCGTGCCCATGTTCGGCGCGAACGCTCCGTCGCCGCGCGCCAGGCGACGAGTACCGCAGCCACTGCGACGGACGCTGCGGCGCACGGCCGAGCGCGCAGGATCGGATCGATGCTCGACGGCGGAGGTGTTGGTCGCCCCTAGAAGTCCATAGCGTTCCGAATTCCTCAATAGAATCAGTCCCAGACACGACCCATGGGACTGCTATAGATGCCGATCAGGCCAGGGGTGGTGCCAGGGGGTCAATGTAGGCATATATGGCATACATGGAGAGTCTGGGAGTGATTTGCACGTGTTTGATTTTTACATGTCTTGACAACCCAGGTCCAATATACGATGTTCCAGGTAGCAGTACTACTGTTGATGGACAAAATCCTGCACCACTTTGCGCACACTTTTCTTGCTGCCCTCGTCCTCCCTCGTTAACATTGGGGCCACCACAGTGAGAAAACAAAAACAAGTTGAAGGTCCAAAATCCTGCACCACCTCCTCAGAGGGGTCGCGCCAACATTGAATGAGGGGGCACGGGGGTTGCTATGCGACCCTTCCAGGGTAAATTGGTGAGGTGGTGCAGGATTTTGTCCATCAACAGTAGGGAACATGTAAAATTTACAATCAAAACCTTGAGAATGTGGGGCTGTGCCAGTTGCTGATCAGTTGCCATGTCCTACAAATTGGACTTGGGTGCCTTCTGTCATCTATTATAGGTGGTGCCTTCTTGCCATGGTGTTGCCCGCAGATTTGATGACTGTACCACGGGACCGGATGACCACCCCGAAGTTTCTTTTCACTGCACGCAGGCTGACATGGCTTGACCAATGGGCTTCAAGAGTTAAAAAACAGGACAGACGGCACACAGATGTTGCGGTTCAAGCGCAGGTTCCACCGAATCAGCGCAAGCGGAGCGTCAGAAATATTTCCGGGCTCCAATGGAAAAGGTGTGGTGAAAGGGTTAATACACCCAGGAAGATGAACATGGAACCTGATGGAATGGACCTGCAAGGAAGACTGTTTTCCTCTACAACCCAGTGGGTCAATATAAATGCAGGAACATATTCCATATACCCAGAGGCGACCCTGGACCTGAACCAACTGCTGCATATATTGGTTCGGTCCATTTCACCCTAGTTGTGAGGGTCAAAACCCAGACCGCGAACGGGTTGGGTCCAAACTCTGAGCCCAAGCTGGGTACATGGCTTGTGGGGGTATGGATGGATCATGCTGGATCCCATCGGCGACCCTTAGGGACCCCAATTGCTACATGTTGGTGAAGCTTTCAACAGTCCGAACGGGGATCCAGTCGTACCTCCTCCTCAGGTTCGGTGCGACTGGCCCCTCCCGGTACATAACACTGTCGAACACATCACCGTACCTCAGGGGGTCACCGGCTTCGCGGCCCAACACCGTTGGGTCGCTTCACGGTCGCTTCACGACCCGTGAACCTGAGGCGACCAGCATCATCTACTGCCAAGTGGCCGACGAAGGTCCGCTGCGACGGACACGCTTCACGACACCGTGGCAAACGTCGCGTAGCGTGACGGTGCAATGACGAGGTGGCAACGCTGAAAGGAGATCTACCTGTAGGTGGTTTCGGATGCTATTTTCAGCCTTGACTTGGGTTGGAACCCACTGACTATACAGGTAACAGTTTTCAGGTGAGTAAAAAGAACAACACCCACCAGAAATGAGAAGATCTAGATCTATACATCTACCAGATTCTACCAGCACCCTCCTAAGTCGAAGGTCACCCGACTTTTAAGTCTTGCAAAATGCCACCGGAGACCACTCGGAGATCTGTTGATCGTCGGGGTCCTAGTAAGTCGATCATAGAAATATGGCTACGATAATCTCCTTTCAACTGAAGGGCGAAGGACCAAGACCCATATCCATGTTGACCTTGTCCGTTGTCCTCACGGGTCCTCGTTTCTTTTTTGTGAACCGCTGTTTTACGAAGGATCGTAGACTACAACACCAGGTTAACCCTACTCTTTGAATGGTCTAACTTTCTCCAGGCTTGGCAATGGGCCTCAGTTTTCTTCCCTGGGGTAAGATATGTTTCAACAGCCAACTTCTGCAAAGTAAGCACCCAGGGTATGAATCAAGTTGGGACACTTTTGAGTCCACAAGCCTGGAGGATCATTGTCACTTTGTGTTGGTGAACATGAGAGTGTGACAGAACGTGTACAGTGGTTTCAGAGGTTCGATGGCACTGTCACCCCTACATGTCTTAGACAGATGGGTGTCCAGATGTTCACCTCTTTGGCGATTGTGCCATCTACTCTGAAACCACTGCAACCCCAAACATGGTGGGTCATGGCACGTGGTAGGTCAACCAGTCCAGAACGACCAGTTGAACCGGTGGATGACCGGACCCCCCTAATCCACCCACCCACCCCCTGTCCCATCTTCAAAACGGTTCGGCCAGGAGCCCAAACGGGATCCTCAAACACCAACAAAATCCTTGGGCTCTACGTGGCAGGGGCGGACCCGACACCGAAATGGGGTCTGGACATGTCGGAGGTCGGAGGTCGCACTCTCACTATGATGCAAGAACACTCACTGAGAAGCCAGCCAAACTTCACATGACCGTGACCATGCAAACCAAAAACACAACACATGAAGCACAAACTCCAAGTAAAACAGCTGCAGTACCCCATACTGAAGGAAATGAACAGGCCCGTCGGCTATGATATAGAATATCCCTAGGGCTCCAGTCGTACCTCCTCAGAAGGTATGACTGGACCCTCTAAACCCACCCCAGTCCCACCTTCAAAACGAAGGTACGACTGGAGCCCTAGGGTTAGGACCTAGGACGAATTTCATATGTGTTTCGAACGTTGCGATCCGAGTTCTGGCTACCGCTCTGCGCAGGTGGTCATACCACCTTCTCGAATGGTCATTTGAAGATCGTGCCAGAGCAAGGCGCGCCACGGCGCGCGCGCTCGTGGCGTCGCCATCGAGGTCCGCGATGTCCGCCCCGCGCGTGTGGGTTTATTATTCTGTATAGCGACGAGAAGGACCAAAACATGTGATTCTCGGAACAAGCCTGGATACATTTGGATAGCAGCTGTTGTTTCCATCAAGCAGTGATTTCTGATAGGGCCTTTGGCCTCCAATTGTTCTCCATGTTCGCCGTTTGACCATCCGTGTCATCGCTGGGCCCCCAACAGCCCAAGGCCCTCAGAAGCCCAAGACGTCCTAAAGGTTTTGCCCTAGGGCTCCAGTCGTACCTCCTCAGGTTCGGTATGACTGGACCCTCTGAACCAACCCCAGTCCCACCTTCGAAACCAGGGGTACGACTGGAGGTCTAGGCTTACGGGAGTATCACCGCCATACCATACCCCTTAGACTCTTCCGAAACTGCATGGCAGTTCGCCGTGAACTCGTGCGCATGCTGAGGCGACATGTTGATCTTTGGATACCTGGTGGATGGGCGAATCAGCTTAGAGGCAGTGCACATGGGGGATGATGGATGCGGCAAAGCATGGTGTTAGTTTTATACAGTCATTGGTATGTCATTGCAATTTATCTACATTTAGCATTCCCAAGTCTGAAGCTTCCAATCCGTTTGGATCAGTGAAACAAACTTACACCACCCCTTCCCATCTACCCCTTAAAACCAATCCAAACGGATTGGAAGCTTCAGACTTGGGAATGCTAAAGTGGTCCTGGTAGATGAACTTGGTCCAACTGGATGCTTTGGGAGGAACATGTTGCAAGCTGCATGTAACATTTAGCCTAATCATAGTTGAGCTTCTTGCTTACATAGTGATTCAGGGAACGACGAGGGTCGCTACGAAGGAAGCGGACACAACACCAGTAGCCCGCACGGCAGGCGAACGTGTTGACACTCCTTTGGACAGCTATCGACAGAACTTGAACGTCGCTGTCGACAGATGAGATAACAACAGTCCTGTCATCGGACTGGCAGAGTTCACCACAAAGGGTCGTTCATTTCAGGGGTCGCCATGTATCCCTACGTTGGTCAAGTCGACCAAGCACTGCTCTGACCAGGGGTACTTCTGGGTCTTTGGACTTGTATAGGGTAAATATATCTATACATCTGGAGTCGACCAATTCGTACCTCGGAACATTGGGTATCTATGTACCACAGTACGAACCACTTGGTACCTCGGAACATAGGCACGAAAGGTCCGTTAGGTCCAGGTATCATTTCCAGCCCCATGAGTCGGGGGTTCTAGATAAGATGCTAAGTGCCTCCCTCTTCTTGCACAAGAGGGAAGACACCCTGCCTAGTACTCTGCCTTATCTATGCCTGAAGGATGCTGGAAACGCATTGACTTTCCAGGGGTCAATCATGGTATTGGTGCTACCAGCCCAGCACCTTCGGTGACCAGGGTCGGCTGGAAGGCTCTTCCAGCCGATCTCCAGACACCCCTGATTGACAGGGGGGGTCGGTCTGGACATGAGGTATCAGAGAATTCATGGGAGTCGATGTATGCCAGGTTCTTCAGTTCGTGACCGAACTTGATCCCCTGGTTTGAGGTCACGAACAGGCCTGGAAATGGTCACAGACACAGGGACTCCAAAAAGGTGACTTTGAAGAAGCCGGTAGGTGAATATTTCAGTCCCATGGATTGTGTAAAGGTTAGTATGCCTGGGAGATATGCCCTATGGCTATGCCGCTATGGCTCCTGAGCTGCGGTGGTGAAGTGGGTGTCCTGGAAATCGCCTTACTCCACCTGAGGAAGTGGATTGTCAGGGTAAACATGGCGTGTCCGGGTAACCCCTCTCTAAGGCTCCGAACGGCCCACATCCTCAGGTTCGGGTGCTTAGACCTTCACCGTCCTTCACCCCCACCCCAGCGGCCCAGCGCGGCTCGGACCGCTGAACCGCGACGGAACCGGCGAGTCGAACCGGCACCGGCACCGCGAGCGGCGAGCTCCGGCGGTCGTGGTCGTGGCAGGAGCACAGCGCGTGCCCTGTGCGACGTGGGCAGAAGTGGATTGCCACCCAATGGTATCGAGCCTTGGCGAGTGCGAGGCCGAAGCCTTGGGGTCACGATAAAAACAGACCAATGCTGGAAGGCGACATGACCCGAGCCGCGCAGAACAGGTCCAAAATGGTGCAAAAGAAGAACCCATGTTCTGAGGTCCGGACTGGTCGACTCCAGTTGCCTTTTTGGTCTTCCAAGTGGCCATGGTCTACTTCCATGGGCAAGTGATGCAAGTGCTTTTCACATGACCATGGGATAGTAGGACAATTGTTTGTGTCGTTTGGGGGTTGTACATGCTCGGTGGGGTGTTTGCAAACTGTTATATAAGTCACTCTAAGAATGTGAGTCTGTGTAAACAAAATACGGCAAAGACCATCCATGTGAGCATTCCTTCTAGAGGAGATGTCCTCTAATCACCACGCAAGCAGTGCCATAGATCACTCACATGGTAGCTGACATCCCAAAAACCATCATGTTGAAAAGATCCTGATGATACGTAAGTACCTGGATTCTGAGGAGTTCTGAGGGGTGCCCCAAGAATGGGTCATGACGCTAATAAACAAGTACTTGGACATATTTAAGGAAAGTGGAGCTGGAACAACAAGTACTTTGGGGAGGCGTGATGTTCTACAAAGGGGTGCCGAACCCTAGGAAGTTTGGCCCACCATTTACTGAATGGGCTGAATCCATTTGAATCCCCTAACGACCATTATTATCCACTGGATTTTACACTACTACAGGTCACCAGGCTGTTCCCATCCATGTTTGAGTGGTCCAACGGAAGGCCAACAGACAAATCAAACTCCCAGCGAATCTTTGCGTAGGAAGTAGACAAAACAACTATCTAAGACTCCTCAGTTGAAGGGCTTTCTTGTTTATTTGGGAATGGATCATGGCACCTGGAGCCCAACCAGTCGTCCACCATTTGCCGCGAACTATCAAGCGTTCGGTATCCTGGTGTTGACCCACGAAGGAGTTGAAACTGGGTGGCGCTTCTGGCACAAGTTCTTTGGATCTTTTTAGACCAACTCAGGAGCCTCCAGAAATCTTGCCCGTCCTGAAAGACCATTCCTTGGTTTCTGTACGCTCTCACTGGAATCTTTGGAACATCCGAAAAGAGAGTTCAAAGATGTTCAAACATGTTCTACCCCACTGGGGTTGTGTTGGACGCCCTCTATTTCCTCGGACCTGATTTACTGATGATTCTGTTTGATCTCCCTGTATCTGCTGCCACCCTCCTTTCGAGGGTGATGTGTTTCGACTCTTCATAGGAGTGGAGGGTACAGTCGTACCGAACCTGAGAAGGTGGCAGTGGAATGTTTGATGTGGCACCTTTGATCCGTATCGCAAACGATAAGGATCTACAAGTTATGTCCGTGCCAGCTTCATTTAAGGCTTTTTGGAGGGAGACAGATCCAACCCTCTTGTCGGGTCTTTTCCTTCAGCAGTGTCCGACGTGTTGCTTGGTTTTGCGGTTTTCGGATGATTTTTATGGTTTGACATTTTGTGGCATGGGGAAGAGTACTTTTCCCACCCGGAATCCCAAACAAACCACTACTGTATGCAAAAGAACATCCAGAACTGTTTCTGGTTGGGACCGGGGGTTCCATGCGAAAGTCTGAGTCTATGGTCTAACTCGGGTCTCACGTCGCTGTGCCGACTCCTGCGCAGCTGTTTCGTTTTCAGGGTGTTTGTGTGGGGTCGCCGGCCGGTTTTGGTGGCGATGGGTTCTGCAGCACCCGTTGGGCAGCCGCCTCGGCGGACACCACTGGTGCCTTCGACCGAACAGACCGCGTGCCAAACGGTAGTCACGTTCGGTGCGTACATGTTTTTTCGTACACGGAGAGTGCGATCAGTGATGTGAAGTTCCAAGCAGTGTCCCTCTGTAGGGGCTAAAGTGACCTCAAAAGATCTCAAAGGGTCCCATATAGGTATTCCACAAATATCGGGTTTTCCTCTTGTAAATATCTACCGGTGGAGGATGTGGCCCATCAGCTGCCACACGGCCCTTGTTGAACGGCAGTTCTGTTGCATTCGGATTGTAATGGAATGTCAGAGTGTGCTCAAAGATGCTCAAAGGGCTCCTTGAACATTGATGTGTCCAACTCCAAAGTCCAAGGCTTCTATCGGACTTGGGCAGGAAGAATGGTTATAGTTCTTGGGATTGACACTAAGACCGTCTGAGTTTGACTGGGAGACTCCTAACCAATAGTCTATTTCCCTTCTTCCAGGGGATCTTTCACTGGGAGGTCTCCCTAGTTGAGCTGCGCAGTGAGGCAACTTCGTAGTGAGCTTGACAGGTGGGGGAAGGTTGCGAGGCCGGACACGAGGCCGAAGCACCACGACATCGCGTGGTGCTTCCTTCGTCTACGCCCAGACACGACCTGTTTGGGACTGGAATATATCCTAGAAGCTGATTGACCTCTGTTTTGGAGCCAAAACATGGTCTTTTCCTATCAAAACACAGGTCATGTCTGGGTTCCAGGTATACATTGACCCTGTATACAGCAAACTATGGCAGTCCAAGGCCCAGGTCGTGTCCCAGTGACGACTGGTCCAGCCCCCGGTGTACGACCTATGACATTGGCGTCCCAATGGGATTTAGACCCATACCCATACACTCCATGTATGCAAATATCATACCCTAGCGCTCCAGTCGTACCTTCGTTTCGAAGGTGGGACTGGGGTGGGTGCCTGGAGGGTCCAGTCATGCCTTCTGAGGAGGTACGACTGGGAGCCCTAGGGATACATTGGGATGGTTTCAGGGGTGAATGTGATACCTGCAACTTCGTGGTTGCTTTTTTCGGGGGGTCGTTAGTTCAACATACCTTCATTTCTAGGTCTGTGAACCACATAAACATCCGCAACCAAAGTAAACACCCGCTTTAAAGGACACGTTCGGAAAAAAAAAAAAAAAAACGCCTGTGGCTCGCCAATAAACGCCCTTAGCTTGTGTATAAACGCCCGTGGAATATTTATAGGCTGTGACACCAAAATATGATTGTCACGCTGCAGATCGAAAGAAACAACATCATTCTGAGGAAGTTCCAGGTATATGCTTAATATGCCATGCGCAGAGTGTCTGGGATAGGGCTTGGACCTTCCCCCTCGAGAGGGCTGGGAGAAAGAAGAACCTGATGGGATCCACGCCCGTAGAGGTGGTACAGTGATGTGTTCGACGCTGTGATGTAGAGATGGTTCAGTCGTACCTTCTCAGACTGGACGACGAATGGGACTGGACGACGAAGACGACGGACAGGCGGTTATCATCCATGTTCATTCATGCTACGTGACTCTTCCAGACATGGATGGTCCAAGTATGTCCAAGTATATACCTTCTGGGTTAAGGTAGGACTGGATCCCAACGGGATCCTCCGGTGCGAAACGGGCCGACTTTCGTACCCCATGACTGCACCGCGAAGAGTTTGCTTCATCCAAACCTCCGACGGGCTGGATTGATCTCTGGATGTTTGGCCAGTCCTGAGACTCTTAACAGATCATTCTACCCACGGACCAGGTCCGACCAGTCGTTCCAAACCGACAACTCCAAGTCACTCGGTCCCACACCCTATAGCTGGATCAACCAATCGGTCACCACTACACAACATGGACCTCCAATTTTTGGAGAAGAAGCCATTCTGCCCCGGAAGATGTTCATTCTGAATATCATGTTCATTTAGAATGTCAATCTGAATATGTTCATTCAAACATGTCTCCTTCTTTCTTATGTTGATTTGTCCTTCAAAACCAAGGTTCTCTCTGACATTCCAGAAGTACCAACAAGAGAGCCGCTTGTCATTAAATATGATCAGCAGCCTTTGCCCCAAGGACTGTTGTTTTTTTCAGTTGGGATTGCTGCACTTGAAACATTGTTCGGCGTTTGATTCTGGACTGAGGACAGCTCGCATGGCTTGGCACTAAATATGGTCAATCCTGAAATGCGTTGACCAGCTATACGACATGTCTTCTTTCAAACTTCTGTGGAGATACTAGACCCCGTGGATCCCAAGATATGACATGTTATGACTACTAGGGTTTCAGTCGGTCTATATGGCAATAGCTTTACTCCGGTGATTGGACCTCCCGACGGCCTGGGTGGACCTGAACGAAGCTGGTTCACTGGGCGCCCTGTAAAAGGTCACTTGGGGACTCCACAGTTCAACGAAGTCAAGAAGCTGGAAAGTACCTGGACATGATGTGACATGACCCTATTAAGAAAACAGGTGCATGATACGTGTCGCCCCATTTTCCCAGGCACGGCCCATCGGGGGTCGACTCCCAGTTGGTCGGGACGACCGAGTCCAGTCCTTAGGCCCAGCATCAAGTGGGAGGGCGAGCTGGAGTGGATCTACTCCCGCACGAAGGCCTACACTGCTGAGGAATGGGAGGCGCGCAGTCTACGGCGTACAGACGCTGTTCTCTTCCTTCAGAAGATGCGAAGTCGACACGTGGTGCGACGAGGAAAACTGCACGCGGTGTAACGGTTCATGGGCGCTGGAATGGGGGATTCCGGACCGCATGGAGATACTGTATGGGTTCCAAGAGAGGTTGAACAGCCCTTTGTCGCCCATCCCATATGTACAACTACAGGGTCCTAGTTCTGGTCTCTCAACCTTTCTTGGTTTGGACTTGGCGCCAGGCCTTAATTCGACTCCACCCGAAACACGGCCAGTAGGGCGCTTCGGTATGGTGAGGTGGTCCCTCTCAGAGGCGACTGCCACTCTCGGCAACTGCTATACATGTTGGTGAAGGATCCATTTCACCCTACTAGTAGTTGTGAGGGTCACCCAGACCGTGAACGGGTTGGGTCCTAACTCTTAGCCTGTGGAGGGCGTTCTGGGTCATTGCCTGAGGGCTGTGTTGACCCGAGGGGGTCATGTCCTGAACCCCGACCTTCCGAGCTTGGTTTTTGGGTACACCCCGCAGCATCACGGAGCCAGCTAGAGAGGTTTGTTGTGACCTATGCTACTGGGAGACCTACCAAGAGAGGTTTTTCACAGCCCGTCTTGTCGCCCATCCCATATGTAC